TTTTACATAAAATATTATTTAAATATTCAGGATAGTTAGCTTTATGTCAAATTAACTAAATTATAAAATATAAGATTTAGATAAAACTTTATATGCTTATAATAATAATAATAATAATAATAATAATAATAATAATAATGCATTTTAAATAATAATAACAACTTTTTTATTTTAATTTTATATTAATTTATATATATATATATATATATATATATATATATATATATATATATACTCAAAAAAAAATGCTGGTAAGTCATTTTAACCAAAATATGGACAAAACCCAACATGTTGATTTAATTTTAATTTAAGGGACCAAATATAAATTATGTCCATATTGACCGTATCGGCCCCGACGAACCCTGAAGAGTTTTCGTTAGCTTAAGTCAAATTAACTAGATTACAAAATATATAGCTTATATAAAACTTATATATGCTTACAATAATAATAATAATAATAATAATAATAATAATAATAATAATAATATACAAATAAGTCATTATTGTTGTTATAATAATAATAATGATAATATTGATGAATTATAAATTATAATAAGAAATTATTTGCATAATATTATTAGTCTTATTATAAGCATGGTGTTTGCAAGTAAATAAATATATTTAAAAAACTGTCATAATTAGATAATCAGAAATTAGAATTTGAAATATTTTATATATGGTTTATATTTATATCCTCTCAAAGAAATGCTGGTTACACTTTTTGACCAAAATATGGACAAAACTCAACATGTTGATTTAATTTCGAAATTTAATTTAAAGGACCAAATATAAAATATGCCCATATTTACCCAACTAGGGGTGAAATTATCCAGCCTTTGTTTTTGAGTGCACTAAAGTGTTCTAAAGTTTCCAGGCAAGCACAATGCTCTCTATGCACAGCTACAGTTTTAAAGCCAATGATAAACTTCCAATGAAAGCTTAATGTGACTATTTTTAATTTCACAAGGTTGCTTTAACAGCATTGATGTGGTAGTATAATTACATACAGTCAAATAGAGTTAAGCATTCATTTAGTTGTTCAAGCGAAAAACAAGATGAAAGACCGCTATAACCATTAGCGCTTCCAGTAGCAACAATCCAAAATTCCGTTGAAAATACTGGAGTAAAATAAACGGGCATGTTTTAAAGACATGGGAAATGGAATTTAAAGCAGTGCTTCTTGTCTGATCTGAGACCCACTTCATATCGTATATCTAGCAGGCAGTGAAGATTACTGATTTTTAAAGAAATTAGATCTTAAACGGGACAATTTTGTAATGGAAAGACAGTTTACCGGAAGCCCTTGTGCTGCCTGGCTGAAAATTAAGTCTGTGTGCATGCAGTATAGCCCATTGATATGTACATTCAATCATTCATTCATATTCTGTTTGGCTTAGTCCCTTTATTCATCAGGGGTCACCACAGCGGAATGAACTACCAACTTATTCAGTATATTCTTTACGCAGCGGATGCCCTTCCAGCTGCAACCCAGTACTGGAAAACTCTTACATTCACACTCACACACTATGGCCAATTTACCTTACTGTGGACTGTGGGGGAAACCAGAGCACCCGGAGGAAACCCACACCAACACATGAGAACTTGCTAACTCCACACAGAAATGCCAACTGACAAAGCAGGGGCTTGAACCAGTGACCTTCTTGCTGCAAAGTGATCGTGCTACCCACAGCGCCACCGTGATGCACCTGCAATTACAATGCTATAGATTTAATTACCAAAACATGAAAGATTAATTGGCTGCCCTGTATGCATTTAAAATATACATATATTTGCTGTTTGTACAAACTACTTATTTAAAATGAGCTGAAACAACACAATTCTTGAGTTTTTCTGGGGGGGACAACTTAATTGTTTTATGTTCACTTTACTTAAATTTGTAAAAACTTAATTCCGTCATGTTGTCTCAACACAAACTGATTGTGTGGAACCAGCATGTTTTTACAGTGTGTGAACAGACTATCATTCAGCAGGCCTGTTTTCTCCATTAGATCAGGGCACAGAGGATCCATTCGTATTACTATGGTAATCCGCTCAATACCAGCCAGGCGGCATCACCTCGGATGACATCGGCCCCGGCGGACCCCGAAGAGTTTTAGTGTCGGGGGGCTGAAATCACGCTGGTTTTTCCTGGCGGCTCTGGACAAGCAGCGCCTGTTATTACATGGCAAAATCCCTTTATGAACAAAGCAAATAAAACAGGCCATTTAAATCTCCAAAAAATACACTGGCGCGCTCAACGGCGCATTTCTCAGAGATTAGCTAGCCTGAGGTGAGCAGCCTGAATACGATCGCTTTAGCTGAAAAAAACGTATTTGTAGAGGTTCACGTTTCCACAAATGCATTAATTTTAATTGCTTTTTTTCTCTAAATATTTGGTGAGGCTACACACGTCCCTGTGTTCGGAGCTCGCGGGGATTTACGCAGGCCCTTTTCTTTTTCCCGATCAGATCAAGTTAGCGAAAGCACTTGTTTTAGGAGGACGATTTGGGACGGCTGTGTTGTCAGAAAGGACGCAGGATGGATCCCGCAGTCTTCACCCCTGCAGTTGATTATCATTTACAGATGTGAAAAATGTCCAGTGTTTGCTTAAACTCAAAGCTTATTTAGTCCCATTAAACTCCATTATGTGGAATATCATTAGCCCCCTGCCTGCGCTAAGGAGCCGCTCGAATAAAGTGTGTGTGTGTGAGTGTGTGTGTTTTAGGGAAGTGTTGAGCGCTCAATCACTGTTAAACGTTCCATTAGGTCATTTGTGCAATAACTTGTGCTATCGGCGTGATGTTAAATCAGTTATGAAGCTGCAATTTAGATCATTGGAAATTGTAAATGACTTTAAAACAGCTTTATTAGATTCTATGATTTGATTTGGGGCAGCACGGTGGCACAGTGGGTAGCACAATTGCCGCACAGTGAGAAGGTCGCTGGTTCGAGCCCAGATTAATAAAGGGACTAAGCCTAAATAATTGGAAAATATTCTGTATATTTATTTTTGTGGCACTTCAATGCAAATTAACATAATATTAATAATAATAATAATAATAATAATAATAATAATAATAATAATAATAATAATAATAATAATAATAATAATAATAATAATAATGATAATAATCATTCATTTTCCTTCGGCTTATTCCCTTTATTCATCAGGATTCGCCAAAGTGGAATGAACCACCAGCTTATAAAGCATATATTTTACCCAGCGGATGCCCTTCCAGCTGCAACCCAGTACTGGGAAACATCCATACACACAAATACTCTACAGCCAATTTAGTTTTTTCCCAGCCGGGACTCGAACCAGCAACTTTTTGCTGTGAGGTGACAGTGCTAACCACTGAGCCACCATGTCGCCCTAATAATAATATTATTAGTAATTTATGTGTATATTTTATGGCATTGATATACAGTAAGGGCTTAAATAAGCACTGTTTTACATATTTTTCCTCTCTCGAAGTTTTTTACAATTAGTTGAATTTCTGAAATTCCTTATGTAACGTACCCAATTAGCTAGATTATTAGTAAAATAATAAGTGAATAGGGTTTTCTTAATATCATTATCATTTTAACTTTAATGAGTAGATTTAATAAATCACAATGTAAAAATAAAATAAATACTTAGAAAATCAATATTAAAGGGGACCTATTATGCCTAAGATGCAAAATAAGTGTGTATGTGAAGTTTCAGCTCTAAATACTACACAAATAATGTTTTATAACTATTTGAAACTACCCCTTTTAGGCTTTGATCCTAATCGTGCCACTTTGGTGACTGTCGCTTCAAATTCAACTGAGATAAAAAAGAAATTTTCAAAAGAGGGCGGAGCTACAAATGCCAGTGTGTCCGCATAGTGGCAGATTCAAAAACAAGACTAACCTCCTTTGCTAATGAGTGAGAGATTTTCACTAATGGGAGGAGCTTTCCCCCTCTGATGACACGTACAAAGAGAGAATGTCAATCAAAGTGCTTGTTTTTATCAAGTGTAATTATTAAAAATAAAATCAATACATTTTTACCATTATAAGTTGGCTGTATTCACAGACTGTTGCCACACAACTGTGTTTAAACCCCTTATAAACATAATTTTTGCACAATAGGTCCCCTTTAAAATGAAATTTAGCTTGCTAAAAAAAAACAGTCACCAATGCAATGCAGAGATTCAAATGATTTATAGCAGCATTCATGTACTGTATTGGCCTGAACCTACCACATATCTGACAGGTAGACAGGAAATAAACTGTCAGAGATGATAAAGCACTTCCTCTGGGTCATGAAGACTGAATGACCTCACAGCACAGGCTCACGCTTGCTTTTATCTGGCTGATGCTGTCAAGATCTCTCAGAGTAGATTTCATGATTTATTCAGTGATTAAAGGATCAGATTATATTGCTATTAATGCGTTTTGTCTTTAATCAGAAAGAAAGAAAAGATGTTATTTTAGAACATTTATTATTCATTACTTAAAATAGCTCTTACAACTAGTGTTTGTGTAATGGCTGGGTCAGTTGGCATTTCAGTGTGGAGTGTCCCACAGTCCAAAGACATGCGCTATAGGTGAATTGGATGAACTAAACTGTACTACTGTATGTTTCCCATCTTGTGTAACGGCGCCGCCCCAGTGTTCAGCTATCATGTGTACCTGTGGTCTTGAGCTAGTGGAAACTTTCTGTCCAACAGTTAATATTAGTGCAAAGTGTGTGTTTGCTATACAGCTCCTGAAATAACTGCAGAGGAAACCCCAAACTCCACACACACACACACAGTTTCCTACACATTTGTTGACGGGATTAGCTTTTATTGGGTTTGTGGACAGCATGCCAGGGTTGGCTGATATATTTAAGATGATGTTGTGGAACTGTGTATGTGCCTGTCTGTTTAGGAAAACTGTTTATCCAAAAAGCTGTTATGGCTGTACTAGTTTTACACCCACGTATGAGCGTATTTTCACAATTCTCATCATCGTCTTCCTGTTCTCTGCAGATATTGACGAATGTTTGGAGAATAATGGGGGTTGCGATCATTTCTGTCGTAATACTGTGGGCAGTTTTGAGTGCAGCTGTCAGAAAGGACACAAACTTCTGACCAATGAGCGCACCTGTCAAGGTAAGCCACCATTCACACTGCACACCACTGCATTTTGATGTACATTACATGAGTTTTTAGTATGGCACTTTATGGTTTAATTTGAATTGATTTGTATACAATTAAAGGTTCTTTATTGGCATCAAGGGTTTCATGAAGAACTCTTAACCGTTATGAAAGCTTTCCATTTTATAATGGAAAAACGTTGTTTAGGTTAATGAAAAGCTCATGAATATGGTTCTTTAGGGAACATAAATTTGGTCTTTGATTGCATTTCTCTGTGAAAACCCCTTTTGGGGCTAGTTTTTGTTGTTGTTCTGTGAAAAACAAAATGTGATGTTTAGAAAAATGTTTAGGCTGCTCTTATAAAAGACTAACCCTGTCTAACTGTCTGCTCCACCAAATGGTTGACCATATTTTGATTGTTTTAAATAAAAGTCATTTAAAGAATGACTGTTTTAAATAAAAGCTCACACACACAGCATTGTTGGCAACAAAAAAAAAAAATCCAACAATCATAATCCTGTTGCACTTCTACACTTGGTTTTGGTTTTATTGTAAAAAACAACAACAAAAAAAAAACATGTTAAATGAGAATGTGATATATTTTATGGCACACTTCAAAAAATAAAGATGATTCAGTATTCAAAAATGTTTTATTTTGATTATGTTCTCAAATAAATTGGTCTTCCACTTCGTATTTTCAGATTTTTCATAGTATTAATTCCAGTAATTTTACCATCAAGCGACATATCAACCATTTGGTAGAGGTTGATATTTTAGAAAGCAGTAATATAATTTGATAAAATAATTATATACATTATAAATTAATGAATACAATTAGTCTATGATTACTTAATCATATAAAACATGATTAGATAATATTAAAAAGAAATACAAATATGTTGGAAATATATAACAGTATTCATCAGCATTTATCGTTTCTGTGAAAAAATGATTTTAGGTTTGAATAGCCAATTAATTAATTCATTAATTCATTCATTATACAGCTTTTAAAGACTAGGGTTTTATGCCACTTTTTGTGCCTTTATCCCATTTTTGTATCTTTGACACTCTTTATTCAATTCAATTCAATTTATCTTTAATTCATCTAGATATTTTTCAAGACACTTCTTTACAGCTTAAAGTGACATTTTATAAGGCTTAACTAGGTTAATCAGGTATAGGGTGATTAGGCAAGTTATTGTTTAACGATGGTTTGTTCTGTAGACTATCAAAAAAATTTATAGCTTAATGGGGTAATAATTTTGTCCTTAAAGTGGCTTTTAAAAAAATTAAATACTGCTTTTATTCTAGCCAAAATAAAACAATTAAGACTTTCTTTAAAAGAAAAAATATTATCAGACATACTGTTAAAATTTCATTGCTCTGTTAAACATCGTTTAGAAAATATTTTAAAAAGTAAAAAATTCAAAGGGGGGCTAATAATTCTGACTTCAACTGTGTGTGTGTGTGTGTGTGTGTGTGTGTATATATATATATATATATATATATATATATATATATATATATATATATATATATATATATATATATATATATATACACACAAATGGATTTTGACATTGATTTGATGTCAATTGATTACCTTCAAATTGACATCTATCAAAAACACATCAAAGTCGGATTACAAGACTGTAATCAATTTTTGACGCCAATGTCAGATGTCAATTTGATGTCCTTTTGACACCAAGATAGTTGACATGCATTGTAGAAATACAAAATCCACTCTAATTTGATCATTTTGAAGCATTCAGATTACTAAAGCTTTACTTATATTATTATACATGTTGTGTTGTTACTTTGGTGATCAAAAGGGCATCAATGTGTGGATGTCAAATGGACGTCATGGTTTTGACATCAAATAGATCTCCATATTTGACATGTTTTTGGCATGTCTTTAGACGTCGTATTGACAAGCTGTGTATTTGTCCTCTGCAGATATTGACGAGTGCTCCTTTGAGAGGACGTGTGATCACGTCTGCATCAACTACCCTGGTAGCTTTGAGTGTGTTTGCCACAAAGGCTACAGTCTCTATGGCTTCACACACTGCGGCGGTGAGTTTTCAATGATTCCCACTAGGCATGGGACGATGACCGGTTTCAAGGTTTACCACGATTTGGAAAAGTCATGGTTTTAAAACTGCTAAAATTTTCCTATGGTGTATATAATATGTTTTTACATGGGTTTTTTTTTTACAATTATTTTGTCTAGTTTTTTAGGGCAACAGTATCTCCAGCAGCAAAAGACCATCCACATCAAAATCTACTGGTCAGCCCATGATTCTGGAAACATCTGTAAAACAAATCACCAATACACCAACATCTAAGCATAAAATAGACCTGAACACAGTGCAATGGCTTACTTTATATGCAAAGAAAAGAGAAATATCCAAAGATGGACTTTATATTGAAAAATATTAAAATATTACTATATTAAATGGGGGGGGGGGGGGGGGGGGAGTAGTTGTTTTTTACTCAGATAATTAAATAGAACATTTTAGAGCAGGAATCACAATATCGTGATATTTTCATCCAAGGTTATCATGCTGCCAGAATCATATACCGACCCATGCCTAGTTCGCACACTTTCAAAAAATATGAACAGCCACATTTTGATGAATTAACTGACATCTGTGCGTGACAGATATTGACGAGTGCAGCATCAATAACGGAAGCTGTGAACACGGCTGTGTGAACACACCGGGCAGTTACGAGTGTGTGTGTCCTCCTGGACAAAAGCTCCACTGGAACAAGAAAGACTGTGTTGGTAAGTCTTCTATTCACCCCCAATCTCTAAACACCCCAAAAATGTTTACTGTTTCAATAGTAACAATACCTTACTTGGCCCTCAGAGGCGGTAAAATGCCTCCAGAATGGAAAACCGCCACCACGTGCTCAACTCAGCTGCACTAAGACAGGTGGAGGAGAGGTGTGTTCACTTTCCTGTCCATCAAACGCACTCTTTCTAGCAGGTTAGTACCTCATTTTTGAGGAAGGTAAGTGTTGCTTAGAAATTGCATGCCATGAATTGCAGTTTAAAGGCAAATATTTACACTTATTAGGTACACAGGTTAGGTTGTTAGGTTGAACAGAAGATTCAACAAGGTTCTGGAAATATTCCTCACAGACTTCGGTCCATGTTGACATGATAGCATCACGCAGTTGCTGCAGATTTGTAGGTTGCACATCCATGATGCAAATCTCCCGTTCCAGTACATCCCAAAGTGCTCTATTGGATTGAGATGTGGTGACTGTGGAGGCCATTTGAGTACTTTGAACTCATTGTCATGTTCAAGAAACCAGTCTAAGATGATTTGCGCTTTATGACATGGTGCGTTATCCTGCTGGAAGTAGCCATCAGAAGATGGGTACACTGTGGTCATAAAGTGATGGAGATGGTCAGCAACAATACTCTGGTAGGCTGTGGCGGTGACATGATGCTCAATAGTTACTAATGGGCACAAAGTGGGCCAAGAACAGATCTCCCACACCACCACCACCAGCCTGAACGTTAACGAGCAGTTGGACAGGTGTACCTAATAAAGTGGCCGTTGAGTGTATGTAGGTTTAGCCCTGCTTTCATGGTTGTGGGCAGAAACTGTTGCTGTCCTATGCTGCTCTCTAGTGGTTGATAACTTGCAACATTTTTTGCATGCTTCGCCCAAAATGATTCACTTCAATGTGATTTTTGACACTGATGTGGGAAAGGAATGTTGAAATGATATTTCATATCATCTCTGAGGAACTGATTTGTTAAAGGTATTAAGGTGTTACATGACCAAAACTTCTCTCTGACAATTTTTTTTGCAAGGATCATTGGCTTGGAGGAATGTGTATAAACATATTAGCACCCAGCAGTAACTTTTAAAAAATACCTGATATACAAATTCACACAGATCTTACAAAAGGGCCACATTTTCCCCAACTACAGTTAAATACTGTGCACAACAGTCTGTTCTCCACTTCCAAAAACAAAAAATACTTTTGGTTATTTAAAGCACAAAGGTTGTAAAATATACTATGTTTCATGGTTAAAGCAAGATAATCATGACTTATATAATACTGTAAGTGATGCGAATATATTTTCAGAATTTCAGATAATATAATTTTTTATAAATACAAATGTAAAAAATATATATTGTCCAAAAAGATATATGGTGAAACATATGGCGAAACATCCCAATGCAATATTAAAATTGATATGCACAAAAAAGTCTAGTAAGTACTGCGAAATATTCCACATTTCTGATCATTTATCTTAAAAATTGCAGAGAACATTTTTTTTAATCACTGATAAATAAACTAAATAAACTGTAAAACAATACTGAAGAAAGCAATTTACCAATGCAGAATTGACAGAAGCATTAATAACATGCACTATACATTCTAGCATGCACTCCAAAAATAGGTATGCACCAATCCGGAAAGAATATACCAGAAAAAATCAAGCGAATAAAAAACTTTCATCTGTAAATATGATGTTTGCAAATCTTAGTATATAATCGTTTGTTTTTATGTGCATCTTTGTGTGTGTGTGTGTGTTTATGGCTATGGATTCTCTGTGCTTGTGTGTTAATGGTCTCCCGGGTTCACGCAGTGAGCTCTAAAGCTGCATAAAACCTCTTTTAATCCTGTTCACCCGGGGTCTGGAGCCTCATGCCAACAGAAATACTCAGCCTGCCATTGGACGATTTGTGGCAAGGCCGAAGTCAGGCCAATGACTCTCTAGACAACTTCCCAGTACTCTATCTTCCTGACAGCCAGCCTTCTATTCACACACACACACACACACACACACACACACACACACACACACACAATCATGCACAAGCACAACAAAATATTACTCAGGTGCATGAACCACCTGGAACATCTGTTTAAATGTGTTTTTGTGTGTGTTTGTGTGTGTGTGTGTGTGTGTTTGTGTGTGTGTGTGTGTGTGTGTGTGTGCTTGTGTAATTTAGACTCAGAAAACAGTTATACACTGAGCTGCGGTGTACCTGTCCAGCCAGGTAAAGCTCCACTGAAGAGAAACATCACAACTTCCAGCAGCAGCTCCCTGCAAACCTGCACAGGTAAAACTGGTACATTCATTCATTCATTTTCCTTCGGTTTAGTCCCTTATTGATTAGGGGTCGCCACAACGGAATGAACCGCCAACTATTCCGGCACATGTTTTGCGCAGCGGATGCCCTTTCAATCGAAACACAGTATTGGGAAACACCCATACACTCTCACATTCCCACACACATTTATACACTATGGCAAATTTTATCAATTCACTTGCTGTGAATTTGGACTGTGGGGGGAATCAAAGTATCTGGAGGAAACCCACACGAACACAGAAACTTTGCACAGAAATGCCAACTGGCCCAGCTAGGACTCAAACCAGAAACCTTCTTGCTGTGAGGTGACAATGCTAACCAGTGAGCCACCGTGCCGCCAAAACTGCATACATTTACTGCATTAATGTTTATGCTGTGAGACTAGAGGTGCATATTCTCCTGTAAAACATGCTTACTATGTAGGGTTATTAACAGTCAAGTGTGCACTACAAATGGTAGTCTGCTATGTATTACGAAAGCTGCGATGAATGAAGTAAAACAAGTACTCACTACAAAATCTACAAAAAATTTATTTTCTTTGCTCTTTTCATTTTTCCCTCATTATTTTTGTTCAGTTTTATCATTGTTTTTGTTTGCTTTGCCTTAACTTTTTTCTTTTTCTCTTTCATTTCCCTTTTTCTGTTTTCTTTCCTCTCTTAGGTGCATTTTTCCTAGTTTTCTTTTTCATTTTTATTTTTTTTCTTTATTTTTCTTGTTTCTTTTCCAAATTATTTTTTCTGTTTCCATACCCTTTCATTTTACGTTCAGTTTCTTGTTTGATTTTTCCTTTCTTTTCCTCTTTTTGAACTGATTTATTTTCTATTTTTCTTTCTTATATATTTTTTTCTCTTTTTCTCTTTTTCTGTTTTCTTTTCTTCACTTTCACTTGTGTTTTTCCAGTCTTATTCTATTTCTTTTACTTCATCTTTATCACTTTCCTTTTCTCTCCTTTCCTTTCATTTACTTACATTTACTTTTCATTTTACTTTCTTTTCCATCTTTTATTTCATTTCCTTTTCTATTTCGTATTTCTTTTCTCAGTTCCTATCATTTTCTTTACTTTCCTTTTCATCTTTCATTTCCTTTTCGCCTTTCACTTACTTTAATTTTTCCTTTCCCTTCCCTTCCTTTTATCTTTTATTTTATTTTCTGTTATTTTCATTTTTACGTTAATTTCATATTTTCTTTAATTTCCCTTTCCTTTCCTTTTAATTATTCCTTTTACTTTCCTTTCTTTTACTTTACCTTTTATCTTTCATTACCTTTCCTTTACTTTCCTTTTCATATTTTATTTAATTTCCCTTTCCTTTCCTTTCCTTTCCTTTTAATTATTCCTTTTACTTTCATTTCTTTTACTTTACCTTTCATCTTTCATTACCTTTCCTTTACTTTCCTTTTCATATTTTATTTAATTTCAGTCTTGTACCTCTTCCTTTTCTTTTCTTACATCGTGTCTACACCTCTTCTCAGTTCTCTTTGACATTCACTGGTCTTTTCCTTTTTCTGCAATCCCTTTACGCCTTTTTATGTTGTGGCCCGTCCAGCAGAGATCAGATCAGACAGGACAACAGTAAAAGAGTCATGCAGCGTGACGTGTTCCACACCATTACATTACATGACAGACTCTGAATCATCCAATGCATTCAGATACACAGACAGCTTCAATCATTCAACCCTGCTGAGGTCACTAATATCCCCACGACTCTTCCCACTCTCAGAATTCGACATTCCCCATGTGGTTCATTGTGTAGGTTTTGGACAGCAGAGCAAGACAGACAGACTGCTTCGAAATGCTCGCATACACACACACACGCACACACACAGACGCCGCTTCTTGTTTTGGACGGCGTACATAGAAATGCTGTGAACCTGATTAAATGACTCTGTTCTGGCTGCACATCTACATGCTGACAGATTTGAAATACACAGACGAGATTCTACCACGGCCGCTCTTGAGGGCCTGTCCACACGGGGCCCAAAGAGAACGAGTAAACAGACGGTTCGCGCTTGATTCACACATTCTGCAAAATAATAATAATAATTAAAAAAAACCACATTGCTAAAAGGGTCACTACCAAACCCTCTCGATCCAAAACCACCACACGCTCAATATGGTTCTTGAAGTCCTCAACCACAGTGTGTGTTCTCACTTCAACTCCTGACCCGCCGTTTTCATTCTCGCACTGAATTTGGACTTGTTGCACTAAAAACTAGATCCTCGCATTTTTTAATACTTTGGAACGGGGCCACTCAGCCCACAGGACAGATTTAGTGTGTTCGAATGTTGGATTTTATAAAGGGCTCATATTTTTGTTGTTTTCCATGATTATTATCCAAAGTTAAAGTGAGACTTTTGCTGATTTTTCTGTCCACCAGAGATGCTGGCGCAGCCTGTGAAGCAGAAAGCCCGCTTTAAGATCAAAGACGCCAAGTGCCACATGAGACCCCGCAACAAGGAGAAACACAGAGACATGGGGAAGCAGGGCCTTCAGGGTGAGACATCATCACATCGCAAACGCTTCCAAATTAATTAAAAGATGAACAAAACAGATTGTGCTTCTTGTTCAAACTACTTATTTAAGATGAGTTGAAACTACACAATCCTCAAGTTTTTGGGGGGACAACTTAATTGTTTTATGTTTAATCCACATATATTTGTAAAAAAAAAAAAAAAAAAAAGCGATTAGGTTAACTTAATTGATTGGTTTTGAGACATGGAGAATTGTGTCACCCTGCATTTTTTACAGCGTGAATCCTCTCACGAAGTTCCACTTTTTCTGTTTGCCTTTGTTTAGCATTTTGTTCTCTCCTCCTTTATTTTTATTTTTTTGTTTCCATTTGTTGACCTTCTTCCATTTTCTGTTTTTTATATTTGTGTCCTTTTCATTTTCTCTTCCTGTTCATTTAATTTGTTTTGCTTCTTATGCCTTTTCATTTCCTGAATTATTTTCTTATTTCCACTTCTGACTTGTTTTGTTTCACGTCCTTCACTGCCGTTTTTTTCTGTTCTCTTTTCCCCATTATTTTTGTTTATTTTTAATCTTTCATTTTTCTTTTGCATGTTGTTTTCTCATTTCTTTCTCTTTTCTTTTCTCTTTCGTCTTACTTCCTTTACTTTTCCTGTTTCAGCTGCTGTTCATTTTTTCTTTCCTCTTCTTTCCTTTATTTTTGCATTTGTACTTTTATTTCCTTTTTATTTCCTTTGGAGCCAGCACCTAAGCTTTTCACTTATCATAGCACACGTGCTGCTGATGAGGTGACAAATAAAAGTGATTTGATTTGATTTCCTGTGTCATTTCATTCCTTTCATATTTTTCCTTTTTCATTTGTTTCCTGTTTTTCTTCCTATTGAGCATCTTCTGTTTCCTGTTTTTTATATATTTATATCCTTTTTATTTTCCGTTTCTTCTTCTTTTCATTTGTTTTGTTCCCTTTGTTCCCTTTTTATTTCCTGATTTATTTCCTTTGTTTTTTTTCCTCTCATTTATTTTGTTTCACTTTCCTCACAGCAATTTTTCCCATTCCTTTAATTGTATTGATTTCTATCTTCTTTTTCTGTTCTCTTTTCGTTGTTTTTTTTCATACTTTTGTTTTTTCTTTTCCATGTTGTTGTTTTCATTTCTTTTTCTTCTCTGTTCTCATAAGTCTTGTTTCTTTTCCTGTTTCAGCTACTGTTCATTTTCTTCTCCTGTTTCTCATTTCTCTTGTCTTTTTTCATTCTTCCTTTTTCTTTTTTTTTTTCCTCTTTTTCTTTATCTTTTGCCTTTGTTCCTTTATTTCCTTTTCTGTGCCAATTCCTTTCTCATCAGTTCTTCCTTATTCCTCTTTTGCTTTCCCTGATTCACTTTTCATATTTCATGTTTCTTTTTCTTTCATCAGCTGGCCAGTTCCCTTGCACAGACGACTGTCAGGTAACATTTGTGAATCTGAAGTGCGACTCTTCCAAAAAGCGCCGTAGGGGCCGGAAATCTCCCTCAAAGGAAGTCTCGCACATTACAGCAGAGTTTGAGATGGAAATGAAAGAAGAAGAAGCCTCAGGTAACATTGCCTGCATATGTTTAAATAATTATTTAATACATTGCAAATGTAGGATTTGGGTGTTTTTACATAGCTCTCAAAAGTCTTTAATTTCACTTACACAACGTTTCGACCAACATGGTCTTCATCAGGTCTCACACAAGGTTTCGACCGACATGGTCTTCATCAGGTGTGGCCTGTAATTTTCATCATAGGTACACCTCAACTATTAGAGACGAAATCAGAAAAAAATCCAGAAAATCACATTGTAGGATTTTTTAAAAAATTATTTGCAAATTTCCGTGGAAAAATAAGTATTTGGTCAATACCTAAATTTAATCTCAATACTTTGTTATATACCCTTTGTTGGCAATGGCAGAGGACAACCATTTTCTGTAAATCTTCCCAAGGTTTTCCCACACTGTTGCTGGTATTTTATCTCATTCCTCTATGTAGATCTCCTCTAGAGCAGTGATGTTTTGGGCAACACTGACTTTCAACTCCCTCCAAAGATTTTTAAGGGGGTAAAGATCTGGAGACTGGCTAGACCACTTCAGGACCTTGAAATGCTTCTTACGAATGTTTGGGATCATCGTTATGCTGAAAGACCCAGCCATGTTTCATCTTCAATGATGGAAGGAGGTTTTCACTCAAAATCTCACGACACATGGCCCCATTCATTTTTCCCTTTACACGAATCAGCATTCCTGGTCCTTTTGCAGAAAAATAGCCCCAAAGTATGGTTTCCACCCCCATGCTTCAATTAGATATGGTGTTCTTTGGATGCAACTCAACATTCTTTGTCCTCCAAACACAACAAGTTGAGTTTTTACCAGAAAGTTCTATTTTGGTTTTTATCTGACCTTACGCCATTCTCCCAATCCTCTTCTGGATCATTCAAATGCTTTCTAGTAAACTTCAGATGGGCCTTGACATGTACTGGCTTAAGCAGGGGGACATGTCTGGCACTGCGGGATTTGAGTCCCTGGTGGCGCAGTGTGTTGCTGATCTTGAATGAAGCCACAGATCAAAGGAGGTTATCAGTGGTCTTGTATGACTTCCATTTTTTAATAATTGCTCTCACAGTTGATTTCTTTACACCAAGCTTCTTACCTATTGCAGATTCAGTATTGCCTGACTGGTGCAGGTCTACAAATTTGTTTTTGGTGTTCTTTGACAGCTCTTTGGCCATGATGGAGTTTAGATTTTGAGTGTTTGAGGTTGTGGATAGGTGTCTTATAGTGATAATGAGTTCAAACAGATACCATTAATACAGGTAACAAGTGGATTACAGAGAAGCCTCCTAAAGACAATGATGAAGGTTTGTGAGAGGCAGAAATCTTGCTTGTTTTTAGGTGACCAATACTTATTTTACCAAGGAATTTACTAATAGATTCAATAAAACACAATGTGATTTTCTGGATTTTTTTCCACATCTTGTCTCTCATGGTTGAGGTGTACCTATGATGAAAGCTACAGGCCTCGCTGTTACAGCATATGATCTTTGCCTAGAACTAGTTCATATATATATATATATTTTTAGCATTATTATTACAATCCCACTGTTACCGGAAAAGATATTATATTAAATATTATATTCACTATTGTGCAAGGCTTTATTTAATCTGACTTGCCTGCAGCGTTAAGTTCTAACATTTCTTTTATTTATGTTTAAGAATCATGCAACTTGGACTGCGTTCGCGAGAAAACCAAACAGCGATTACAGAACGCCATGCGCACACTAAGAAAGTCCATCAGTAAGCAACAGTTCTACATCCAGTTTTCTGGCACCGCATATGAAGTTGCCCAGCATGCTTTACGACATACGACTGAAGGAGATGAAACCTGCAGTATAGGACAGGTCTTTACCGATGGGAAGTGCGGTAAGCATTCTGGGAAACAAGGTTTTATCATGCTTTTATTTTCTTTCTGAAAGCACTTTTGTAAATCATGTTTTTTGGGTGAATTTCTGTTTGTCTCCCAGTCAGCTGCGTTGTGGGAACATTTTACAGTGGAGAACAGGAACAGTGCGTCATGTGTCCTCTTGGAACCTATCAAGACAGGGAAGGCCAGCTGTCCTGCGAGCCCTGTCCCAGAACTGAAGGACAGGGCATCGCAGGAGCCAAAAACGTCTCTGAGTGCGGAGGTGTGTGTGTGTGGATGCATGCTATCAGACACTCAGTCGATGAATAGCTTTGTGATGCTAATGAAACATCTATTGATTATTGGAGATGATTAATGCAAGACCACACCCTATTTGAATTAATCAATACGTGCTGAAATTAAGGGTCACTACGGTTTAAAAATCTTAAATTGTCATGCAAATAAGAGAGTTCTTATGACAGACTGAGGAACATGTGCATTTGTTGATCACTGTTTGAGCAAATGTTTCAAATTGTAATAGAATTGCACTATATTGATGGAACAAATAAACTATATATACTTTTTATATACTATATATAAAATGTAGATTACTACATACAAAACTAAACTTCAGTACTAACACTGACGTGGCATTTAGCGCCACCTTGTGGAGTTTGAAAAAAAACTCTAATTTATAGTAACCTTAGAATAACAAGGTTCTGATTTTTATATATGACTTTTATTTTAAATGTGCCTGCCCACAAATTTATATTTAGATTTTTTTAAAATACATTTTAAACGAGTAATGGGTGTTAACAATTTTACTTTGCCATCATAGTAATAATATATTTTCAAATATTAAATTTAAATAGAAAAAAGGTGTTTATATATATATATATATATATATATTTATATATATATTACTGCTAAGTTTTTGATCAAATAATTGCAGGTTTGCTAATTTACTTTTGTAATTTTTTCCCCCACTGGTTTTAGGTCAGTGTCCAGCCGGTCAGTTCTCTTCTGATGGTTTCCGCCCATGCCAACCATGTCAGCTGGGCACCTTCCAGCCTGAGCCAGGCCGTGTGCTGTGTTTTCCCTGTGGCGGAGGACTCATGACTAAACACACCGGCAGCACATCATTTAGAGACTGTGAAGCCAAAGGTACTCTGGCTGCACTATATATAAAAAAATAAATAAATATTGTGATATATAGTTCTGCGATATAAATAAAATTTTATCAGCAATTTATTATTATTTTTTATTTATTTAATGATCATACACAAATAAACAGGTTAAATATATACATTTTCTGAGCTATTAAAATAAAAACTAGCCTTTAAAAAACTGCAAATGACTGAAAACCCCGGCAGAAATTCTGATTCTTATTGGCTGTTGTCATTTTCCTCTCGTGTCTCCCAGCATTACTATTTATTTTCAGCTCTAGGTTCACCTAAACAGCACCTACTGGAGAGGATGATGATGAACACAGAGAAGGTCCCATCTGATTGATCAGATTTGGATAAACAATCAATGCATGCAGCGCGCAAATGCTTGACACATAAAATGAATGAAATTTTTTGCACTTCTCTGTGATATAGAAATTACATATACTATTATCGCAATAACAATACTTTATCGATATATTGTGCAGCCCTAATTAAATACAATATGCAATATATATATATATATATATATATATATATATATATATATATATATATATATATATATATATATATATATATATATATATGTATGTATGTATGTATGTATATATATATATATATATATATATATATGTATGTATATATATGTATGTATATATACACACACACACACACACACACACACACACACACACACACACAAAACAATACAATACAATAGAGTGCAGGTACACATGAATTAAACAGTGCTTTAAGGTTTTCATACAGTATTCAGACACAGAACTTAAATTTAAAATCTAAAATATTACTGTACGGTTTTCATTGTACAAGTAAATCTTTGTTAAACCTACAAATATTCGAATTTTTTGTGCTATTACACACTCTTGAAATGCTTAATATTCCCACGTCTTAAAACAAATGCAATTGATAAACTTTGCAGATAAAATATGACAATTGCATGTGCTGCGATGTGACTATTGTGGATGTGTATATTGTAATATCAATGCTGATATAATATAGTGTGCAACTCGAAAAGGTATGCTGGGAAACACAGTGAGCTTAATGGTAATGCAAATCATCTGATCACAAATGAATGACTAAACACAGGCTTGTCCAATTTCCACACTGTAAAAAATGACTGGTTTCCTTAAATTTTTAAGCTGAATCAAATTCAGCTTAGTCTTTTGAACTCATATAATATTAAAGGGACTTAAAACAGTTTGTGCAACTTATCAAATTAAGTTAGAACATGATTAACTTAGTTTAATATGTTACAATTAACTAAAAACATATGTTGTCTTGACCAATTGATCATATCATTTTTTTACAGTGCACTATTTTCAATGATGGTCTCCTAATGTCTTTGATTCTAGTTCACTGTGCTCTTGGCCATTATTATAATGCCACCACACATCGGTGCATCCGCTGTCCAGCTGGTACCTATCAGTCTGAATCCGGACAGAACTACTGCATCACCTGCCCTGGAAACACCACTACAGATTTCGACGGCGCTAACAACGTGTCTCACTGCAAAAGTAAGAGAAATACCCGCAAATCCATTCGTTTGTTTGTACGTATTGGTTTTTGCTGCACTGCAAATTAATGTGGCATTTAAGTTTTGAACTCATCCACAACCAATGAAACAAATGAAATGAAACAGTTTCGAATGGACTTCATGCCGCTGGTCTATTCCAGATCAGATATGTGGTGGAGAGCTGGGCGACTTCATGGGCTACATCGAATCTCCGAACTATCCCGGTGACTATCCATCTAATGTGGACTGCGTCTGGACCATTAACCCTCCAAACAAAAGGCGGATCCTTATTGTTGTACCAGAGATCTTCCTCCCCATCGAGGATGAGTGCGGGGATGTTCTCGTCATGAGGAAGAGTGGTATGGTATATCTTTATGACAAGCTTTTTTTTTTTACATTTCACATAATTTCATGCTATTAGTATTAGTACTTTTTAACTTCTTCTAATATCTTTTACATTAAATGGTAGGAGTTATTTATTAGCTACTTGTGTGTCTTGGATAATAGTGTTTATGCTTAAGATATTTTAAAAGATACTAGTCCTTCTTTATGTTTTTGAAAATTTTTTTTTAGATTTTACTATTAAAATTTTAATCAAACTCTACTGTGACCATTCTGACTAATCATAACATAAAATGATTTTTAAAAAGTAACTAGTGACTAGTAAGATATAAATGTTTACTAATAAATAATAAAAACATACCAGATCTAGATGCATATGAACTACTATCTGATAATAAAGAATTACTATGTAATAAATAAGTGCATGTACCTTTAAAAAAGTATTAGTACATAATCAATGAGCAAGAATAACTACTAATAAGTGCTATTATTTACAGGAAATGATGCTTGAAAATAGGCATTAGTGCATTTTTATAAAGACTGTCGTTTTGGATGTTAGTTAAGCACACTACCTAACAGAAATCTTGTCGACTATCCAAGTTTTCGAAAAAACAAATAATAACTTGACTTCTAGTTAATCATTTGGTATCATAAGTGGCTTATCTGAAAGGCAAATGCCTCTAGATTATGCTTATTTCACCAAAATAAAATATGATCATGCCTTGATTTTTTATTATTTAATTAGATGTAGGAACCTCTGCAATGACTCAAATAACTTATTAATAAAGTCATCTGGAATGGAAAAGAAAGCGTTCTTGCAGGACTCCCAGAGTTCATTAAGACTCTTTTTGATCTTCAATGCCTCCTCCATCTTACCCCAGACATGCTCAATAATGTTTATATCTGATGCCTGGGCTGCCAATCCTGGAGCACCATGACCTTCTTTGCTTTCAGGAACTTTGATGTAGAGCCTGAAGTATGAGAAGGAGCGCTATCCTGCTGAAGAATTTGCCCTCTCCTGTGGTTTGTAATGTGATGGGCAGCACAAATGTCTTGATACCTCAGGCTCTTGATGTTGCCATCCACTCTGTAGATCTCTTGCACGCCCCCATACTAAATGTAACCCCAAACCATGATTTTTCCTTTACCAAACTTGACAGATTTCTTTGAAAATCTTGGGTCCATGCGGGTTCCAGTAGGTCTTCTGCAGTATTTATGATGATTGGGATGCAGTTCAACAGATGATTCATCTGAAAAGTCTACCTTCTGCAACTTTTCCAAATGATCAACTAGAATATTCAAGTTATTATTTGTTCTTGGGATCAAGACGAGACTCAGGTAGTGTATTGCTGCAGAAATGCATGTTATTAAGCTACTCTTTTCTCTCTTTTTTTAGCCCTGCCCACTTCCATTACAACTTATGAGACCTGCCAAACTTATGAGCGACCGATCGCCTTCACCTCCCGTTCACGCAAACTGTGGATCCAGTTTAAATCCAATGAGGGTAACAGTGGAAAGGGATTTCAGGTTCCATATGTCACTTATGATGGTAAGACACAAACAAATACAACCATGTACATTTAGCCACATACAGTAGGATTACATTAGAAGTAAATGAAAGACAAAACAAGACTTTAAACATTTTCATTCCACTGTGGCGACCTCTGAAATTGAGACTAAGCCAAAGGAAAATGAATGAATGAATAATATCCTACATGCTCAAGGCAATATGTGTTTGATATTACAGAAGATTACCAGCAACTCATAGAAGACATTGTTCGAGACGGTCGACTATATGCCTCAGAAAACCATCAGGAGATATTAAAAGTGAGCATATATTTCCACTTCAGCGCATAACCGCTTTTAAAAAAACACTTCATCAGTAACTTGTAATCGCCTTTTGCTCTGTTTACAGGATAAGAAGCTGATTAAAGCTCTGTTTGACGTACTGGCTCACCCTCAAAATTACTTTAAATACACTGTGCAGGAATCAAAGGAAATGTTCCCACGTTCCTTCATCAAACTGCTACGTTCCAAAGTCTCAAGGTTTCTACGGCCGTATAAATAGAAACCCGAAACTCTGATCCACGACTTTCTTTCCTCATCTCTCTTCCACCTCTTTTTCTCCACTAGCTTTCAGAAGGCCTCACTACTGCAAGAAGATAAAGACATTTGGCCTTCTTTCTCTCTGAGATTTGTCCCCTTTTTTGTCTTTGTTTGCTATAATTTATGTGCTCGATTTTGCGAAAGCCCTTGTTGGATGTTTGATATCTACAGTATATATATATTTGTATATGTATGTATTTATATATGTGTGTGTGTTTGCGTGTACAAAATATGATGTGCAAGTTTATGGCATAGTAGTAGGACACAAACAGACACACACAGATATATATTCTTGTTTCAAAAACGTCATTTTCATGCCCCTGATGTGCACAAGGGGTTTCAATATGGAGCCAGATCAGTCTCAAAAATAAGCATTTACAAATATAATTCATACGTTCTAGACAATTTGTAAATACATGCAAAAACATGTATTTCATGATTCATATATAACACAAATCCAAGTCGTGAATTAAAAATTATGATTCATAAATACTCAAATCCAATTCATAAATTCAAAATAAGATTCATAAATACTCAAATCCAATTCATAAATTAAAAATACGATAAAAAATACACAAATCCAATTTGTAAATTCAAAACACGATTCAATAATACACAAATCCAATTCGTAAATTCAAAATATGCTTCAAAAATACACTAAGGCAATTCGTAAATTCAAAATATGATTCCTAAATCTAAAAATCCAATTCGTAAATTCAAAACATGATTCAAAAATACACAAATCCAATTTGGAAATTCGAAACACGATTCAAAAATACACTAAGGCAATTCGTAATTTTAAAATATGATTCGTAAATCTAAAAATCCAATTCGTTAATTCAAAACACGATTCAAAAATACACAAATCCAATTCATAAATTCAAAATACGCTTCATAAATACACAAATCCAATTTGTAATTTCAAAACACGTCAAAAATATACAAATTCAATTCGTAAATTCAAAATACAATTAATAAATACTCAAATCTAATTCATAAATTCAAAATGCGATTCATAAATACACAAATCCAATTTGTAAATTCAAAATACGAGTCAAAAATACACAAATCTAATTCGCAAATTCAAAACATGATTCGTAAATACAAAAATTAAATTCGTAAATTCAAAACACTATTCAAAAATACACAAATCCAATTCGTAAAATCAAAATACTCTTAATAAATAAACAAATCCAATTTGTAATTTCAAAACACGTCAAAAATACACAAATTGAATTTGTAAATTCAAAATACGAGTCAAAAATATACAAATCCAATTTGTAAATTCAAAATACGATTCATAAATACAAAAATCCAATTTGTAAATTCAAAACATGTCAAAAATACTCAAATCAAAAAATCGTAAATTCAAAACACGATTCATAAATACACAAATACGTTTCTTTTGGCAAAAATATTTATTTTACAAATTGTGTGTTGCATTTATCAAATTGGACTTTGTAAATTTGAATTGTGCTGTGCATAAATGAATTCTATTTTGTAAATGTATTATTTTTAAGACTGACCAGGCTCCATAGTTTCAATATCCTAGTGCACTTAAAGTTTCTTTTCAGACTATAAGAATGGAATTAGTTTCAGTTCTGACCATAAAATAAAAAAAATAACAACAGCAGATAAATGAAAGAAAAAGAAAAAAAAACAAGAGAAAAGACAAAGACTACCTGTCAGTATGAGAGTATGTGTACGTTGTTTAACTAGTATTTGGAGCTTCAATTGCACTTGAATTTTATATTGTAGAGAATAAGAAAATCTAAGTAACTTTTTTTTGTAATGTTTTTTGTTGTATAGAGATGTTTTACCTTGGTTGTAGGAACAAGAATTATCAAATCTGCCCTTCTACAGGGATACGGAAAGATATTCTCAGCTCTCCCTCTCCTGAAAACAGAAACAAGCATCATTATAATCATCTCATGATAAGTTTTTTCTTTCTTTTTTTTTTTTTTTGCAGTTTAAAATCAAGAAAATATTAATGTTGAAGTACTATCTGGTAACTCTTTTGTATTTTTTTTTTTCACACAGGACACATTTAGATGTTATTGTTGATGGAACATTTTGAAAAAGTGTAAATATGATTTTTTTTGGCAAGTCAGGCTACTTTGTTTGAGCTGGTTGTCATAAAACTCATGAAAATGTTGAAGAGGTTGTCAAGTCAGATAAAAAAAGAAGTCTGTTTTGGATTCAAAGTCATTATATGGTCTATTACATAGTTAAAACATATCTATTACATAGTAATTAATTACAAATCACCTTTGTGCTGTGCACAAAGACACATATTTTGCTCTTGTTTTTGAACTGTGGATGAAGAAAAGAGGCTGTTTGTTGAACTGATGAAATATCTGAAGTATTTGAATGTTGACTTGCTCAGATTGTTTCACCTCATAAATCAGCAGAATGACCATGTTGGAAGCCAAAAAATACTATCAGAGGTTTGTACGTTTCTACATGTAGTTCTGGTACAGTTTTATTTAATATTCTTGGTCTGTTTTGTAAAAACGGATCTTTTTGCAAGACTTGGGTGAGATATTAGGGGAAAAAAACATCATAATTGTATCACATGTAGATGTGCCATAAAGTTGAAAATGACCCTTTCTGTCATCTTACAGTATTCTGCATAGTTTTGCATATGCTTTGGACGTAAGGGGCGGAGTGATCATTCTAAAGCTGCTTTGTTATATAAGCACTTATTAATGCTTGTATTTCTAATATCCACATATGGGCAGGGAAACACGTTAGCTCATGCATCGACCATAAATGAACATACATTCATGCATGAACACAGATGCATTACCTAATCCATATTGTTTGCCATTTCAGAGATAACTCCAGGTTGTCATTAATATTTTTATATCACATTTTAATGTCTCATTTGATTTAAAGAAAGGCACGTGACTGTTTGAAGAAAGAAGAAGAATGTATGACATGAAATCGACTTATTTACACACACACACAACGTGATCTCAAAGTACTTTGCCCCTCAGATGGAGAGAGTGAATCAGACTGCTGCTGGAGCGAATTGTAAGCTTTATGAATTCAGATGTGTAAATGATGTACAAATGGTAGTGTTTTTTTTATTCTTAAGTTAATATTTACAGTAGAATGAGCCATTATGATGGGGAAGATGACAGTCTAACATGTACATGACTGCTCTGGAAGGCTCTGTTGAATAGTATGATTCCCGCAACGGTAAATGACCACAGTACAGAAGAATGAACAATTCAGCAGTGTGAAATCAACCCCAGAAGATGTGTATAAGAGAATGGAAACTATTGTTAAGACCTCACTTTATTAATAAATCATTCAAATCCCATGTTGTGGTTGTTTTATTGTACTTTGTCATTTCTCTTTTATTAAAATGCATTGGCATATTAAGGAATAAAGTGGAATCTAACAGCTTTGGGAAAGATTTGTCTCCCTCTTATGGCCATATAACTACTTAAAATATCATGCACTTGGCTCACCACAAAGGGGCAGTGGGCACCAATGTTTAGCAAAACAATTTCTATTATCATTTCTGTTTTTCACAATATTTCCACTCATTTGTAAAACAAAACACAGATTCATAATATAATAAGTCAGTAAAGGTTTATATGTATTAGTAGTGATGTAGTTAATGTACATCTTTATCTAGGATTAAGTTTGCTAATACACTACTTTCATTAATAATAATGTACATAAATTGTCATATAAAACTAATAACTTGGGTCATCCTGCATATAAAAAGTATACCATAGAATATAGACACCTTTTGGTTTTGGTATTGACCTGCAGATGGAGTTTAGATGCTAATTACATACCTGTTCAGCGGTCAGTACGAACATTTTTGTATATCTTCATCGAAGATTACTGTTTTAAAAGCCGCTGTCTTACAATAAAATAAGATTAGATGGTCGTCAAACAACACTAAATGTACATGGAAGACCTATAAAAAATGAAGCCATCGTCAATGACTGAAATAATTGAGCGGACGGAAAATTAAAAACTCTACTACGGGAAAGGGTTGCCTCATTAATATTCATTACGTACGAGACGTTTTTATCAGTAGACTTCCACTTGATTGGTTGGGTGAGGTTGATTAAGCGGAGCTGAGTAGACGGTTTTGATTGAAGCGCTTCAGTATTAATAGTTATTAAAAGTAATATTCAACGTATATTAAGGTGCTTAATAATATGCTTACACAAATTTGCGTTATTATAGTGTAAGGAATACCATTTTTTAATCGAATACAATGTCATAATTCATTAACGTTGCGTGAAGTTCCTCGCAAATGGCGCCATTTTCGCGGTATTTTTTCATGTGACTATTAAACGGTTCAGTTAACACTTATGAACATTTGGTTTGTGATTATTAATGAAGTTACACGACTGACGCCATTGGCCATAGTAGGATTCGCAAGAGGAGGGAAGAAATATCCCAAACTTGCGCGAGGGGGGAGTGTCTCCTACCGTAATACACGCACTCGGACACACGCACACACACAAACCGGGGCACCACGCGACTCCGGTTCAAACAAACCAGCGCGAGCCTCTGCAAACAGAAGACACAACGTTTTCACGCTCTCCCCGGTTATTTCTCAAGTATTTTTTAACCTGAAAACCTGTCTTCGTCAGACTGCTGAGTTAAAGCAGGTAAGTATATTTCTAATATGCAAATGAACACCGCATGTCTTTTAAATATGCATGAATATGCATAAGAGTGCGCTTTATAAATGATGCTCTCCACTGTTTGGAAAGCGGAGACAGTTTCCATAGATACAGTCAATTCTTTGACGCATGAGTGATTGACTTTTGGCAGTGATTGTGTTGGTTTTGTTTCCTGTTATCTAAATAATGACCTTCTTATCTAGATACCTTTTAAAATATTAAACTATAATTTTGCAATTAAGCCAATTTAGTATATATAGGTTATGTTTGTATTCCTTTTAAGCAAGAAAGTATCCAAAAGTATGTTGGTTTTTAATTTAATTTTTGGAGATGTTAATATCTTTTTTTTTCTTTTGACATATAGCATTGCAAGACTGCTAGTCTTTGAAGTTCTTTTAAATGCAATGTAAAATACTATGGTGTCAGTATGACAGTCATTAAATAACATGGTATACATATATATATATGTGTCATCGTTTTAGCATTTGACTTTCTCATTTCACAATCCTATTCAAGCATGACTATTTTGTGAGTGTATTATATATTTTGAAGCAGTTTTTTAATTATTTTAACCTGATGTTCTCACTTTATTTAAAGTGTTTGTGCCACTTAGATTTGCTTAGTCATAATCCATCTTTTAGCTATCTTTCTACATGTAACTCAAAAGAAATAATAATAAAAAAAAATGTTTCTAAATGGTTTGAGGACTTGTGTTTTTCACAGAATGGAGTGGAAAGCTTTCAGCTCTTTTCCTCCTAGTTATTTCAGTTCAAAAAAACATTTTAGCTCCTCTTTCTCTTCAGAGGGCTTTTTGTGTCCTCTTTCTTCCCAAACAATTGTCTCTGTTGAGTCGCATCTTTTTTTTTTTTTTCTTGCCGTCTTG